AACTGGCTTACCTGGTTAAATAAAGGTGAAATAAATAAAAGAAAAAATACGGGACGTATACGGGACGTATTTTTTTGCTAAACCACTTATCAAAAAGCTGATAATAGTATCATTTCCACTGAAATGTCAAACTTGCTAATTGCTAACCCGTTAGCAAAAATGTTTACGACACCAATAATCACAAAACTTTGATGGCTTGATCACTGTTGAAGGTAATATATTTCTTAAAAGCTGTTGAATTTGCCGATAATACGGGGTTCCACGCTAGCTACACAAATGAGAGAACACCTCACTCTGACCATTTTATTCACCCTAGTAGAGTCTGTTTTCATGTTATCCAGATCGTTGGTGACTGTAACCGTGCTGCTGGCAACAATTTAATTACGCTGTGTGCTTCCACAGCATGGCAGCTTTAACTTCGCTAGTAAACAAATCTGATCTATTAGTTGTCTGTCTCCTGTGAGCAATATAACGTTACCACTCAGTCAAGGTAAGGCAACATGATTTGGGTATACTAGCCCTTTAAAATACTTTGCAACCTAATAAGTTCGTCTGTGCGAGCTTCTGGAAAAGACCACCAGCAGCTAGCTCGCTACCTGCTTCTAGTTATTTAAAAAAAGCAAACATTTCTGGCCAATTAGCTAGCTAGAGAAGTTCCAAGCTAGAACTCATTTTTTGTTATCTGTGTGTGACTGTATCTTAGCAACGCCTTTCCTGGCTAGCCTAACTTGCCCAATTTGCATGTCTCGTTTTATATCTAGCTAGTTGCTAGCTATGCACATTGGCTTATGTGCATTTATTTAGTTAGCTAACTACCGTTAGCTGGCCGGGTACCATCATAATCTACGGAATGTAGCTAGCTAGTGGTAGAGACCACCCAACGCGTTAACTAACTAGCTAGTTACTCTTCTCGCTTTGTTAAAATAACGTGCCAAATCCACAATGAACGGATCGCAAGGAAGGTAGTTAGCTAGTGCGTTATTAACGTTACCTAACTAACGTAAACATTTTCACAACCACCTGAGACTGCAGTGTAGTTTATCACTGTATTCTTCGTCATATCAGCTAGTTAAATTACTAACGTCAGCTAATTAGCTGCTAGTTCAATTGACAATGCTAGCTAACGTTAGCTAGCTAACGCACTTGTCTCTCCAGTTTGTGACACAGCAAGCGTCGAGCAAGCTAGCTAACTGGGTCTGTTTACTAACTTACTAAGATTGTTAGCCATGTCGTTAACTAGCTATATAACCTGTATTTTTTAGTGCTTTAGCGCTTACCTGGGTGTCTTTCTCGGCGACGTTACCAGTCGTCTATGCTCTCCAATATTTTCCCTCAGGTTCAGTCACTCATCTATCCACGTCGTCACTTCCGAACAGACTGAAATCGGTAATGCTCGCCACGCATGCCAAAATAACCTTTGGACAACGCGAATTAGTTCATAGAGGCGTGCATTTATGTAAATTAGAATGATCAACACATACTCTTGATCATTTTAAGGGGTATTCTTGACTGTATTATAACTTTTCTGAGCCATTGATATTCTGAACAGTGACAATGGAGCGCTGTGCAAATTATAGGATTGTAAAAAATATGTAGGCAAAGGGAAAGCTAGTTATGGGGGCTCAGACCTGGCTGCAGTGGTATGTCATGTCTATTGGCACGGTGGGTGCCTAATGACCATTGACCTGGACCACAAAAGTCTAACACTAAAATACACAGTGTTACGGGATCTTGACGTTGATGAGGTGCCTGATTTTCTCCAGGCATTGTAAAGATCTGATAATCTGCAGAGACTATATCTGGAACATACCCAAATACTGGGCACACTTTTTCTATTAACAACAATAAAAGTGCACACTCATTATGCATTGCCCGATGCCCTGGGTTGGTGGAGTTTCCCTTTAGGACCAATGGAATGTTCTCAAATGTGCAAACCCGGGGCACAGGCAAACACACCCACAAACTACACACTCTCACTCATCTGAACCCCATCATCTGTTGCACTCCTGTAGAGTAATTCCACCTCCCTGTGTCCAAGCTGCCACTGCCACATTCAGAAAGATGTCCCTGATCGCCTTCAGGATGCGCTCACTGCATCAAACCTCAGCCCTCCCTGCGACCTTCTTGCTGGACCCCATGGCCCCCAAACCGGGCCATCCAGCCTCCTGCTCCAACCTCTTCAAGCTGAGGTGCGTTCAGTTCGCTTGAACGTTTGCTACGTTGCGGAACGGTGTGTAAGGAACGACACATTTCCCCAAAACGTTCTTGTACGTTCTTGAAGAGACTTTGAGGTACATTTGATCCCGTTTGGTGGGTGTGGTGAGGTGTGGCTTGAAGCAATGAGTGACATATTTAAAGGGCAGTGGCCTTGCTGAAAGCGTTCCCCAACCCACAACCCAACCCCCCAGTACCATTTCCGTTCAATTGAACATTCCAGAACGTAACAACATACTGAACGCAGCCCTGGCCTCCCTTCGGGGGTGGTTTTGCTGTGCCAGGACTACCTACAGTTGAGCTCAGCTCAAAGCTGATTGGCTAATTATTTTATAAAAAATAATTATCAAGGGAGGCCATCAATCAATCAAATGCCACGGCGGCAACATGCCATACTCTTTTTGTCCAGACAGCATCAGATACATGGGCTACACATACTGAGACAGGGGGGCGGTGTTTCCCTCCCTCTGATGATTTCTCCAGTGAGATTCACACACTAATCAAAAAAATTAAAAGAAAGGAATTAAGAAATATCAGAATGAGCAATGTCAGAGTTCGGAATATTAATATATATGTATATGATGGGGTGTATGGACAGTATATGAATAGAAAAGGTGTGTACAGCAGTAGTTATATAGGATGAGCCTGTACTAGAATACAGTATATACATATGAAGTGGGTAAAACAGTATGTAAACACTATTAAAGTGACCAGTGTTCAATGACTATGTACATAGGATAGCAGTTTCTAAGGTGCAGGGTTAGAGTACCGGGTGGTAGCCGGCTAGTAACAGTGACTAAGTTCAGGGCAGGGTACTGGGCGGAGGCAGGATAGTGGTGACTATTTAACAGTCTGATGGTCTGGAGATAGAAGCTGTTTTTCAGTCTCTCTGTCCCAGCTTTGGTGCACCTGTACCTTTCTCCGCCTTCTAGATGGTAGCGGGGTGAAGAGGCCGTGGCTCGGGTGGCTGAGGTCCTTGATGATCTTCTTGGCCTTCTTTGACTAAAAAAAAAACAACAAAAAAACAATGGAAGCAAGGGAAGCTACACAGACTGAGTTTACCTTGTATATTTATTGACCCTTTATTTCAGTATTTGCACTGACTCTATGCACACTCACAGGGCACTACACTCTGTCACTCCAACACACACACAAACACTCACTCTATCATTAGCTCACTCACATATAATATGCACATACATTTATACTAGCTCTACACATCCGCACACCCACTCACATGCAAGCTGCTGCTACTCTGTTTATCTTATATCCTGTTGCCTAGTCACCTTACCCCTATACATATCTACCTCTATCACTCCAGTATCCCTGCACATTGTTATTATTATTAATTTTTTCACCTTTATTTAACCAGGTAATCCAGTTGAGAACAAGTTCTCATTTACAACTGCGACCTGGCCAAGATAAAGCAAAGCAGTGCGATAAAAACAACAACACAGAGTTACATATGGGGTAAACAAAACATAAAGTCAAAAATACAAACAGAAAATATATATACAGTGTGTGCGAATGTAGTAAGTTATGGAGGTAAGGCAATAAATAGGCCATAGTGCAAAATAGTTACAATTTCGTATTACCACTGGAATGATAGATGTGCTGAGTAGAGTGTTGGAGGCTATTTTGTAAATGACATCGCCGAAGTCAAGGATCAGTAGGATAGTCAGTTTTACGAGGGCATGTTTGGCAGCATGAGTGAAGGAGGCTTTGTTGCGAAATAAGAAGCCGATTCTAGATCTAACTTTTGATTGGAGATGCTTAATGTGAGTCTGGAAGGAGAGTTTACAGTCTAACCAGACACCTAGGCATTTGTAGTTGTCCACATACTCTAGGTCAGACCCGCCGAGAGTAGTGATTCCAGTATCATGCAAATATGGTACTGGAACTGACTTTTTAAAATGATTATTTCCTGTATATAGTATGTTTGCTTACTTACTTTGTGAATTTCATTTCTTATTCTTATTTCTCGTGTGCTTTTTCCTAGTAATACATTGTTATTGATTATTGCATTGTTTGGTTTTGAGTTTGCAAGAAAGCCATTCCACTGTGCTTGTGCATGTGACATTAAAACTTGAAAGCCAGCGAGCATTTGGCCTCCCTTGATTAAAAGTATAACATAATGGCCAATCAGCTTTGAGCTAAACTGAGTGAGCTCAACTGTGAATGGTCCTGGAGCACCCAAAAAAGTGTCAAAGGAAGCCAATTTGGATTTGGCATCTTTCCTATCAAATTGCATTGAGAGCATACTTCATTGACAGAAACAACTTTCATTGTTGAATCTCGTTGTGTTGGTGTCCTCCAGTGGCTAGCTAGCTAAAATTGGCCCTTTCCTAAATTAGCCATGGATGGAGATAGGGATTTGGACTTGTGGTTTTACTTAATTCTCCATATTGCCAATGATTATAAAGGCGATTCTGATCCAACCACTAATTCATACATTGTGCCCCTGCCCAGAGAGGATGGAAGTTCAATATGTAGAAGGCTAATGTTAACTAGCTGGCGTTGCCCATGACAGGAAGTTAGGCTGGAGAGGAAGCATTTTAGCCAGGTAGCCTAGGACAACAACACATAAAAGCTGTACTGTATGACAGAGTGATAGACCGTTTCAACATGAAAGAGAGGAGGATGGCATTTCTCTACAAATAGGGTGAGTCAACATGTTTTTTCTACTTGCAGGAACACACATACACAAATCAGAACCATTGACAGCCACATCATATTGAGCTTACATTGATTGGACTAAATTGTTTCTAGTATCTTTTCTGGGCAGCAAGGAGGACATCACTTCCTGTCATTTCTACCAGCCAACGGAAATAGTTAACTGAGCAAAATGGCTCAAATGGCAACTCCCTATGTTGAAGATGACTCTGGTAAGGCTGATTTAAGTCAGAACGCTGATTAAATATTGTTGGAGTTTGAGAATAAATACAATTTAGAATGACTAACCCGTTTGTCTTTAGATCGCTTCCCCAGAACAGTAACCCAGCAACGCTCGCGTTGTGGAGCGAACACATTGTCCAAGTGTGCTGCTGCTGGCTAACCAGTTAGCTAGCTAACAAACACACCAGTTAACGTAGTTAGCTAGCTGACTAAACTCAACGAGTTAACAGATAGCTAGCGTAGCCAACGTTACTACTAGATAATATTTATAGTTAATAGCTATGTCTTAACTATCTTACGTTAGCTATATGGGAAACTAGATTATGTTGGCTAGCCTTTTTGCACAAATGTTTCAGGCTGTATATACCAATTAATTGTGTACTACAGCCTGATATATCAGACTACAGTAGCCCACTAATTTACTGTTAAGGAGTGTAGTCCAGCGGTTTTCAAACCTCTCCTCGAGGACCTCCAGACCTTTCACAATTCATAGTAAAGGAATTGATATTAGTTGAGAAGTTGAATCAGGTATGCTAGCTGTGCAATAGTTATAATACATGGAACGGCTAAGAGTCCCAGAGGAGAAGTTTTAAAAACCCCTGGCTTAGTCAAAGTGCGTGCTGTGCGCAGTTTTGCGCGCTGACCAGCGAGAAGTAGGCCTATTCCTGATCTGGCACATCTGCGTGTCACGTTTTTTGATATGCAGGGTAAAGTTAATAATTTCATAATGAGGACAGCAATCACTTTTGCTACTAGCACTGCATGGTTGAAACAGGAGAAGAGCTCACTCCGATTGAGTATCAACTTCCAAATGGTCTAAACCAGGGGTACTCAACTCTTAGCCTACGAGGTCCGGAGCCTGATGGTTTTCTGTTTCTTCCTGATAATTAATTGCACACACCTGGTGTCCCAGGTCTAAATCAGTCCCTAATCAGAAGGGAACAATGAAAAAAGACAGTGGAACTGGCTGAGACAAAAAGCAAACATTACTAACTAATAGTGAGGTGGAAGATGCTCAGTTTCCCTTCTGGCTCAGCTCAGGCGCGTACATACACCATAGACATATACATCATTCACACACACACACACACACACACAGTCGGCTCAGACATATCCGGCTCAAAGGTCCAGATCATGAGCTCCATCAGCAGCAGATTTTAATTTGGAATGGAAAATAATTGTTTATGCAACAACTGTTAGTGCATCGCATCGACTCGTTCTTCTAATCAAACTGAAATGTATCGGCGCCAATGTATCTAGGTTATGTATCGAATCGTCTTGAAAGGGAAACTTGCACATTCCTAGACAGTATATGTTTAGCATTACCGTCTACGAATGGGCTATAGTAGCAGCAGCAAGTGGCTCATTTGAAATGCATTAGCTAGCTAAATCTTTCTAAGTTACCTGTAGTCACAACAGTAACGTTAACTAGCTAGCCAGTAATCCAGTGTCAATTTGGCTAGCTAGCGGCTATAAAACTTTCAATTATGTTGGATTGTTCTGGGTCCTGTTCTTGCTAGTGCCGATGCAAATGTGGCTAGCTAATGCACTGTAGTACAGCTGTATATTGTTGTAACACACACACATATCAATGTTTTAGCAAGCCTTAGTCTACCAACTGAGCAAAACACATTAATTGGTTCAAATGTAAATGCATGGTTTTCAGTGAATTTGTAATATTTGTTTGCGCCTCCTGTTATAGGGAAATACATTGCTGCTACACAGCGACCTGATGGAACCTGGAGAAAGCCTCGGAAAGTGAAGGATGGTTATACCCCTCAGGAAGAAGTCCCTGTGTAAGTAATGCTACCTAAAAGTGACCTCTGTCAAGTCAACCTTTATACTAATGTTGTATTCATTTTGTTAGAAGCCTCTGCTATAAAATGGTTGTTTCCTAATTTCCTCTCTGCGAATCTCTTTGTTTTCAGCTACGAGAATAAATTTGTGAAGTTCTTCAAGGGCAAGCCCGACCTGCCACCAGGTATGAGCCCCGGGGATGCGGCCCAGGCAAGGCAGCAGCAGCAGGGGATCCCTGGCATTGCAGAGAGTGAGACAGCTGGGCTTTCCAAGACAGCCAAGCGAAACATGAAACGCAAGGAAAAGCGCAAGCTGCAAGGCCCGGATAGCAATGTGGAAGCACTTATAAATGCTGTTGCGAATGTGGCGATTGCAGAGGGCGGTGACAGTGAGATGGCTGCATCTAACCCAGCTGAAGCTACTAATGACCCTTCAGGAGCAGCAGCAGAAAAGGCCAAGAAGATCAAGAACCTGAAAAAGAAGCTGAGGCAGGTTGAGGAGCTGCAGCAGAAACTGGACTCTGGGGAGATTGCGCAAGCTACAAAAGAGCAGCTGGATAAGCTTGGGAGGGCCAAGGCCATACAGGACGAGTTGCTGCAGCTTGAAGAGGATTCATGAGATTAAAAAGGTTGTCAAAAGGGCAGTAGACCAGTTGTGGAAGTTAGACTGTTGGAAAATACAAACACCAAGTTCTAAAAGAAATAGACATTTACATCTGCATTGATGAGCTTCCCTTGCGAACATTTTTCGGGGATTTGGTGTTATCAAACAGCCAATCAACATTAACTTTGGCTTTGGAATACCAAGTGTACATAAACCCAACACCTCAAGTTATGTTGTTGACAAGAACTGATCATGCTTTTCCCACACTTTCTCCAAAAACCAATTAACGAACGACAATGAGACAGCCATGTTTTTCTCTTAATTTGAAATGTACTTTTAAAACAATTGAACTGATCCCTAACGCTTGTATTGGCTATTAACTTATTGGCCATTCATAGTTGTAATAGCATTTATTTTAGTGCTCAGTCTTTTTACTGTGAGTTTCTTAACTTTTTTTTTTTTTTTTTTACCTGTATCTGTCAAGAGAATAGCATAGAATATTATTTATTGCATTAAAGATACAGAAATCCCCTATTCAAGAGAATGCCGTTTTGTTGACCCATCTGTGCACTGAAGTGATACACATTTTACCAATGATTGGATTACTTGAAATAGTTTGAATTTGTGTACATAATGAAGCGATTCATGGTTTACAACATTATAAACATCACTCATATGAAAGGTTATTTTTAATGCTGCTGTGAGATTAAATAGATAGCTCCCTCTACAGGGGAAATCAGGCAAAGCTGGGCTCAGTGGAAATGACTAAAACTGTATCTCCCCTGATGACAGGGCATAGGGAGTATTGTTGTGGTGACATCGAGAAGCTTACATGTAACATTGATGTGTTAATGGCTCTTTATATATAAACATACAAATTAACGGTTGTCTCGGAATGGAAATGTGGTTAGTTGTTTTTCTCACATAGGACAGTTTTAAAAATCATGATTTACATTACTGGAGGAAGAGGTTTTTGTCTCACAGACTACATGGTATTTATGGAGAGACTTAAGTGATACATTTTGTAAATCTTTCACACACATGGTCTTTCCCTGGTAGTGAATCACTACAATGTTTCATTGTTCATTAACTTTGCAATATTAGATGTATTGAAGACACCATCTGTATTGTAACCTTGTCTCAGTTGTCCTTAAAACAGACCAAAAATAGACCTTTAAAAGTTATTGGTAGTTTTATTGACTTAATGATTTTGTGTTCCTCTGATGCAAGAGTGTGTATTTAGAGGCAATTTAATCAGTTGAAAGGGGATAGCTTTTTGGATAGTTGGCATGTAAGTGGGCAGTGTACTTCAAGAGTTGCTGTCAGTGTCTGGAGTATTTATTTGCTCTAAAGTAATCCCAGACTGCATTCCTCTAATGGTTTATTGTGTGGTTGGAAACGGGTCCTAGTGGGCAGACGATGGTATAAAAACTGGGTATTAAACCATAAACTACAGACTTCCAGGGAACATTATAAGACAGGGACCAACAGAATGGAAATGAAGGACTAAGCTTAGAATAATAATCTAAATGGTTCAACTTTACCTCAAATATTGCATCATATTTTCTTGGATAGAGACCTGAAATAGTAAATACGTTTTTTACTATTTCATCACACTAGTTTACTGAAGAGAAAATGAGATATAGTACTTAAACTATCATAGAACGATTTTCAAATGGAGTACATGCTGTTTCTTGTCTTGCTGACAACTGTGTCGTCCATTGCCTTGAACAGGGAGGAAATCATGGAAGCAATGGTAAGAATATACTGTATAGTAAGTAGATTACCAATGAGAACTGCTGCAATTCGTTATTTACTAAACAGCCTGGTTTGTGCTTTAGCCAACTGTTTGTTTTCATACCAAACATGTACGTACTAATACTGTCACATCTTAGGCCTATTTAAGGAACTATGGCTACCTACACATTCCCACTGGACAGTAGTAAGAGCCAGGTTTATCAGACTGAAGAAATCACAGAGGCACTAAGGTAACCACTAAACATCACACTTCGTAGTATGTTCTCTCTTTTTTCTTCTGCTTTTGGCTGCCTTTCAACTAGCTTACTCATACTCGATACTTACTGTATGACTACATACAGTACCAGTCAAAAGTTTGGACACACCTACTCATTCAAGGGTTCTTCTTTATTTTTTACTATTTTCTACATTGTAGAATAATAGTGAAGACATCAAAACTATGAAATAACACATATGGAATCATATAGTAACCAAAGAAGTGTTAAACAAATCAAAATATATGTTATATTTTAGATTCTTCAAAGTAGCCACTCTTTGCCTTGACAGCTTTGCACACTCTTGGCATTCACTCAACCAGCTTCATGAGGAATGCTTTTCCAACAGTCTTGAAGGAGTTGCCACATATGCTGAGCACTTGTTGGCTGCTTTTCCTTCACTCTGCGGTCCAACTCATCCCAAACCATCTCAATTGGGTTGAGGTCGGGTGATTGTGGAGGCCAGGTCATCTGATGCAGCACTCCATCACTCCTTCTTGGTAAAATAGCCCTTACACAGCCTGGAGGTGTGTTGGGTCATTGTCCTGTTGAAAAACAAATGATAGTCCCTCTAAGCGCAAACCAGATGGGATGGCGTATCGCTGCAGAATGCTGTGGTAGCCATGCTGGTTAAAACCTCTATGGGACGGTTGAGCTAACGTGGACATAGACATGTCTTATATGGGCAGAAAACTTAAATTCTTGTCAATCTAACTGCACTGTCCAATTTACAGTAGCTATTACAGTGAAAAAAGACCATGCTATTGTTTGAGGAGAGTGCACAACAACAAACAACTTATCAAGGCAACTGGTTTGATACATTCACATCTGAAGGTAAATAATGTGCTTACATTCAGTAATCTTGCTCCGATTTGTCATCCTAAGGGTCTCAGAGATAAAATATAGCATAGTTTTGTTTGATAAAATCAATTTTTATATTCAAATGTAGGAACTGGTTTATACAGTTTGAACCCCTGCTGTCTCTGGCACTACACCCACCCCGCCCGGCCATCTAGATGTATGAAAGTTAGTGTATAAGATAATGATCCATCATGTATGACATTCCTGGGAGTGTGTAAACTTACATTTAGTATTACCATATCATTTTTGTATGTTCTCTATGGTTATGTACTTGAAAATGTATCAATTGACCAATTCGGCACATTTGGGCAGACTTGATACAAAATAGTCCAGTATTGCAGTGCTTCACTGGATCAATCTGAAACTTTGCACACACACTGCTTCCATCTAGTGGCCAAAATCTAAATTGCGCCTAAACTGCAATATTATATTGTGGCCTTTCTCTTACATTTCAAAGATGATGGAAAAAATAATAATTAGAAAACGCATGTTTTTTTGTTTGTATTATCTTTTACCATATCTAATGTGTTATATTCTCCTACATTAATTTCAAATTTCTACAAACTTCAAAGTGTTTCCTTTCAAATGGTATCAAGAATATGCATATCCTTGCTTCAGGTCCTGAGCTACAGGCAGTTAGATTTGGGTATGTCATTTTAGGCGAAAATTGGAAAAAAAGGGTCCGATCCTTAAGAGGTTAAGTGTGCCTTGAATTCTAAATAAATCACAGACAGTGTCACCAGCAAAGCACCATCACACCCCCTTCTCCATGCTTCACGGTGGGAACCACACATGCGGAGATCATCCGTTCACCTACTCTGCATCTCACAAAGACACAGAGTTTGGAACCAAAAAAACTCAAATTTGGACTCATCAGACCGAAGGACAGATTTCCACCCGTCTAATGTCCATTGCTCATGTTTCTTGGCCCAAGCAAGTCTCTTCTTATTATTGGTGTCCCTTAGTAGTGGTTTCTTTGCAGCAATTCGACTATGAAGGCCTGATTCACACAGTCTCCTCTGAACAGTTGATGTTGAGATGTGTCTGTTACTTGAACTCTGTGAAGCATTTATATGGGCTGCAATTTCTGAGGCTGGTAACTCTAATGAACCTATCCTCTGCAGCAGAGGTAACTCTGGGTCTTCCTTTCCTGTGGCGGTCCTCATGAGAGCCAGTTTCATCATAGCGCTTGATGGTTTTTGTGACTGCCCTTGAAGAAACTTTCAAAGTTCTTGAAATGTTCCGTGTTGACTGACCTTCATGTCTTAAAGTAATGATGGACTGTCGTTTCTCTTTGCTTATTTGAGCTGTTCTTGCCATAATATGGACTTGCTCTTTTAACAAATAGGGCTATCTTCTGTATACCACTCCTACCTTGTCACAACACAACTGATTGGCTCAAATGCATTAAGAAGGAAATAAATTCCACAAATTAACTTTTAACAAGGCACACCTTTTAATTGAAATGCATTCCAGGTGACTACCTCATGAATCTGGTTGAGAGTATGCCAAGAGTGTGCAAAGCTGTCATCAAGGCAAAGGTTGGCTACTTTGAAGAATCTCAAATATAAAATATATTTTGATTTGTTTAACACCTTTTTGGTTACTACATGATTCCACAATCTGGACCCTTTTTTTCTAAAATTAGCCGCCAAAATTGTCGCAACCCCTATTACTAGCCTGTTCAATCTCTCGTATCGTCTGAGATCCCCAGAGATTGGAAAGCTGCTGCAGTCATCCCCCTCTTCAAAGGGGGTGACACTCTAAATCCAAACTGTTACAGACCTATATCCATCCTGCCCTGCCTTTCGAAAGTATTTGAAAGCCAAGTTAACAAACAGATCACCGACCATTTCGAATCCCACCATACCTTCTCCGCTATGCAATCTGGTTTCCGAGCTGGTCATGGGTGCACCTCAGCCACGCTCAAGGTCCTAAACGATATTATAACCGCGATCGATAAAAGACAGTACTGTGCAGCCATCTTCATCGACCTGGCCAAGGCTTTCGACTCTGTCAATCACCGCATTCTTATTGGCAGACTAAATAGCCTTGGTTTCTCAAATGACTGCCTCGCCTGGTTCACCAACTACTTCTCAGATAGAGTTCAATGTGTCAAATCGGAGGGCCTGTTGTCTGGACCTCTGGCAGTCTCTATGGGGGTGCCACAGGGTTCAATTCTCGGGCTGACTCTATTCTCTGTGTATATCAAGGATGTCGCTCCACCTCTATGCGGAGGACACCATTTTGTATACATCTGGCCCTTCATTGGACACTGTGTTAACAAACCTCCAAACGAGCTTCAACGCCATACAACACTCCTTCCGTAGCCTCCAACTGCTCTTAAACACTAGTAAAACTAAATGCATGCTCTTCAATCGAACGCTGCTTGCACCCGCCCACCCGACTAGAATCACTACTCTCGGCGGGTCTGACTTAGAATATGTGGACAACTACAAATACCTAGGTGTCTGGTTAGACCGTAAACTCTCCTTCCAGACTCACATTAAGCATCTCCAATTCAAAGTTAAATCTAGAATCGGCTTCCTATTTCGCAACAAAGCCTCCTTCACTCATGCTGCCAAACATGCCCTCGTAAAACTGACTATCCTACCGATCCTTGACTTCGGCGATGTCATTTACAAAATAGCCTCCAACACTCTACTCAGCAAATTGGATATAGTCTATCACAGTGCCATCTGTTTTGTCACCAAAGCCCCATATACTACCCACCACTGTGACCTGTACGCTCTCGTTGGCTGGCCCTCACTACATATTCGTCGCCAAACCCACTGGCTCCAGGTCATCTATAAATCACTGCTAGGCAAATCCCCGCCTTATCTTAGCTCATTGGTCACCATAGCAACACCCACCCATAGTATGCGCTCCAGCAGGTATATCTCACTGGTCATCCCCAAAGCCAACACCTCCTTTGGCCGCCATTCCTTCCAGTTCTCTGCTGCCAATGACTGGAACGAACTGTAAAAATCTCTGAAGCTGGAGACTCTTTTCTCCCTCACTAACTTTAAGCATCAGTTGTCAGAGCAGCATACCGATCACTGCACCTGTACACAGCCCATCTGTAATTAGCCCACCCAACTACCTCATCCCCATATTGTTATTTATTTTGCTCATTTGCACCCCAGTATCTCTATTTGCACATCATCTTTTGCACATCTATCACTCCAGTGTTAATACAAAATTGTAATTATTTTGCACTATGGCCTATTTATTGCCTTACCTCCATAACTTACTACATTTGCACACACTGTATATATATTTTCTATTGTGTTTTTGACTGTACGTTTTGTTTATCCCATGTGTAACTCTGTGTTGTTGTTGTTTTTATCGCACTGCTTTGCTTTATCTTGGCCAGGTCGCAGTTGTAAATGAGTACTTGTTCTCAACTGGCTTACCTGGTTAAATAAAGGTGAAATCAAAAATAAAATAAATAAAATGTGTTATTTCATAGTTTTGATGCCTTCACTATTATTCTACAATCTAGAAAATAGTACAAATAAAGAAAAATCCTTGAATAAGTAGGTGTGTCCAAACTTTTGACTGGTACTGTATATCTTACCCATTATAACTTTAGAACCTTCCAGAAGGCAACTAACTTGGCCGTCTCAGGAACACTCAACGAGGCCACATTGGCAATGATGAAACGACCTCGGTGTGGTATTGAGGACTCCTTCAATGACAAATCCCTCAAATATCGAGTCATGGGTGGGTCATTTGATTTATTCTCCTCTGACTTCATTGTTATATGATCTTGACTTGATGAGTCAAACATATGGCCACACAATCAACAATGGGTAAAAACAAAGCATTGCCATAAATGTTTTAGCTATACAACTATTTTCGACTAGTATATTTAACTAATGCCTATTTCCACAGGTTCTACTTGGCGTAAGAAGATGTTGACCTACCGCCTCTATAATTACACCCCAGATTTGGGCCTGGCAAAAGCACGTGCGGCCATCCAGGCTGCGTTTAGGTACTGGAGTGAGGTGTCATCCCTGAGTTTCCGGGAGGTGCTGTTTCCGGGAAGAGCAGACATCAAGATCTCGTTTCATAAGAAGGATAGATCATGTCCGGTGCCCTTCGATGGACCAGGTGAGAGTCAGAGTACTCCATAGTCACACTGCAGTTTGAATGTGTGAAAGAAGGCTTTTCTGATCTCAACTGAAGTGACATGAGTCTGATCTGGATGATCTATATGCCTCTGAATGTGATAGCATCTATATGTTTACCTGTCTGAAAACATCCTCTGTCATTAGGGGGAGTGTTAGCCCACGCAGATAACCCTGAATCAGGCATTGTGCATTTTGACGAAGACGAGCAGTGGACAGAGGGGACGACCTCTGGCCGTAACCTGAGGATTGTAGCAGCCCATGAGATTGGTCACGTGCTTGGCCTGGGTCACTCTCAGCACCACAAGGCTCTGATGGGACCTGTCTACTTTGGTTACCGTGCCAACTTCAAACTACATCCTGATGATATCCGTGGAATCCAAGCTCTGTATGGTGGGGGCTGGATTATGATTTATTTTGTTGAGTTAAGACAGACAGAGTATGTCATCAATATCTGATAAGCCATATAATTATTCCATAGTAAGACTTTGATTTCCTGTGGATGTTGTATGCAGAGGATAAATACAGTTTCAAGCCGTTATGTCCCGTGTAGCTCAGTTGGTAGAGCATGGTGCTTGCAATGCCAGGGTTGGGGGTTTGATTCCCATGGGGGACCAGTACAAAAATGTATGCCCTCACTAATGTAAGTCGCTCTGGATAAGAGTGTCTGCTAAATGACTAAAATGTGAAATGTGAAAATGTTATGTGTTTGAAACATTTGTCTTTTCTGTTCTCCTTTAGGGAAGCCAGGCAATCGTCCAACAGTATCCAGAAAGCCAAATGATTCATCCCTAGAGGCAGGTCCACCACATCTTTGCAAGAGTATCATAGATGCAATTATGTTAGGTAGGTATTGTAAAGATTTAATCCCAATTTTTGCCCTACAAAAAACTATGTAATTACTGCAAATTAGAAAAGCACTTTCATTCAGATATACAGTATCTACAAGTGTTTGTCTGATATTTATCGACCACCCAGGTCCTTTTCGCAAGACATATGTCTTCAGCGGTCAGTATGTTTGGACAGTGTCTGACACTACTGGCTACAACACACCCATCCTGATCTCTGTGCTGTGGAAGGATCTGCCAGGGAGCCTCAATGCAGCTGTGTACTCTCAGAGGACCAACAAGTCCTACTTCCTGAAAGGTAAACCTTTTGCCCTGCATCACACTGTCCCTAGCCTGGTCCCATATCAGTTTGTGCTGTCTTGCCAACTTCATTGTCATTATTTACCAAACCTACCATAGGAGTCGGCAAGACATCACACACAGATCTTGGACCAGGCTACACTGTCCCTGTTTCAGTTCTGGAATTTCTGTCAGTATTGTAGTTTTCATGTGTCACTGTCATATTCTTAATTCAGGAGACAAAGTGTGGAGGTATACCAGATTCAAACTCGACATTGGCTTTCCGAAACACTTGGCCAGCATTCCCTCTAATGTCGATTCAGCCTTGTACTTCAACCGGAACAACAAAGTGATCTTCTTCAAGGTAAGGAACAAACAAACAATGGTTTTGGCTAATGTGTGAACATGTAACATACCCTCTAGTCTAGACCATTTCAGAATGAGTGATGACCAGATAATAGTTACACTTTATTCTATCCCAAAGGGTTCTCAGTATTGGCAGTGGGATGAAGCTGGGGCAACGGACTCCAGCACGTATCCCAAACCGATATCACATCTCTTCTCTGGGGTACCCTACAGCCCAGATGCAGCCTTCACATGGACAAACGGCCATATATACATTTTTAAAGGGAACCAGTACTGGCGCATCAACAATAAACAAGTTGTGGATAAGGGCTACCCTCTCATAACAAGTGAAAAATGGATGCAATGTGATAATTAGGCCATTGGAGGTCAGTGATGTTTTATTTCAGAATCACCTTTATTCACCAAGTACATTTACACATACATATAATTATTTGCCTTAGTGAGAAGGTGCTGCCAGCAATAGACAATATACAAACAGAATACAGACAAGTCCACATAGACATCATACAGAATATACAATATCGGAACAGTAAACATAAAACATAAAACTCTGGAGCAGTGGCGACCCGTCATTCAGGGCAGGTGGGGCACACGTTTGTTTTTGGTTGTCTGTTTTGCATGTTATTTAGGCATTAATATGTGTCACATATCAGTTTGCAAACAATGTAAAAAAAAATATATTAATCATTGAGTTAATAAAGCCTCCATACAAACATGGTCTCTTTTTTGCTTTCTTGAGTAAGGCAGCTCCAAAATGCAGGTGTTTCAGCCTAGCTGAGTGCTTTTTGTGGTGGTGGGGCAGCCAGCGGAAAATATGGAGCGTAGGGGTTGGTAATGTTCTCTAGATGCGCCGTGATTTGCTCAGTGTTCTGTCACTCATGGGGACGCTATGTCACTGCCAAATCTAAAGGTAGAGCTAGAAAATTCAAGCCCCTTGGGTGCTGCCATAGAGTTACATTAGAAGTGCCCATCCAAGAAGGCTCAAGGTCATTAGCCACAGATAAAATGACGTCAAATCTACAGTAGCTTTGATTGGACTGATCATGTCAACATCATACTTTCAAAATCTTAGTTAGCAGTCATCATCATGAATCAAGTCAACAATCTACTGGCAAATCCTTTTTAATGCTTGTCATATGAAGAGAAATAATGAAGAGAAATTATAGATAAAACGTATCGGAAGTAGACAGGACTTTCATACCGCATAGCCTAGCCAATGTATCACCTAACCCTCTGAGGTGAAATATAGTAACATTTAAGGATGTTTATTTATTTTGACAACACAAGAGTTACACAGATGTTTTATGTACTGTATCTCTTGTGCAAGGCATGTAAAATGTATATAAATCCCTAAACGTAGAATTCCCCCCTCTTGTACACTGTGCATAAAACTGTAACAATGGATGTCTTCACAAAAATGTATATTAGCAAACTGATTAAAATAAAGCAATTTTATTTATTGGAAGTAGGATCAATGTGTTATATTACGATTGACTGTCTGATACCTTAAGACTGTCAATAATAAACAAAACAAGGTGATTTAGTCTGTTGAATCTTCTCTAGAATCAGTCTGTCGTCTCAAAAAACAGTCTATGAATGGTCTGCTGGAGACAAGTGTTGGGCACCTCAGTGGAACTGGAAGGTGATGCCTAGTATTTTCCCTCAGACCCTATAGACTAGGGAGGAGGCAGTCAGGGGCACCATGGAGCCTGTCTCAAAGTCAAAGTCTATCATGGTGTGGTTGACTGTGCTGTTGCTGATGATGCTGCTGGTAGAGGAGCCTGAACCCATCTGGCGGTCACGAGTGCTTTGGATGTAACTCTGGAAGGCAAGTGGTAAGGAAAACATTACATTGATTCTCTAGGTCTAGGATGATTGAAAATAATTTACATTGGTCAATTATTTGTATTTTTTAAGACATGAACCACAACGATGTATATTAGCTAAGTGCATAAACGTTTTGAAATAAGTGTTTTAATCAAGCTCATTCATGCCCATTAGTGGTGAAGTAACTCACTGGGGCCAGGACGTCTCCAGCATAGCGCTTCAGGATTGGAGGCTTGCGATGGCGGTAAGTGCCCTGCTGGGGTCGTCTCTGGGCATCTCTCTGTCTGATTCGCATCAGTTGGACCTGTCTTTGTCGGCCACTGACAGGTACTTGGGGGCATTCAATGTAATTTAGCATGGGACAGAAAAAGAGAGAATTATGTTGTAACCAGTTTACATGTTAAGTTTAACCTAAGTTTCAACTGAAGTAGTGATGACCGAGGATGTAAGCATTCCATGTTTTTATGAAACTGTGTCACTCACCTTCTGTGTGGGACACTCCTTTGGCAGTGAGCATCCATTGCACCACTACCCCCATCAGACTGAATAGAGGACATACGCCTGTTATAACCCAGCTGTACCAGCAGAGGGGACGAGGGGGAACCTGAGACAGGATGTCGTACGCATGGCCAGCCAGCAGCGACGTCTCTACAAAGAAGTCCACGCACGCCATCACCACAGCGGCGCCGACTGCAGCCGTGGAGAGCACAGTGAATAGTTTCTGCCACTGCAGTGTGAGAATGGCACAAAAGGTGCTCGTGGCCAGGAGGGCACCGAGAGGCGCCCATAGTGGGGTAAGGCTGTAAAACTGTCCGACAACCAGCAAGTTGGCAAGGGTGAGCAGACTACCCAGATGTAGGCCAGTAATGATGAGCCCCACAGTCTGTACCAGCATAGTCACCAGGCCACAGAGCACAGCCACTCCCAGGAGGATGCCTGCTTTGGTCTCCATAGTCAACTGAGTATCCAGCACAGGCTCCTTATGGTACAACAGGCAGACTAGTGCAGACCCAAACATGAAGCCTGACAGGAACATGACCATCTTAAAGCAGCGGTATCCTAAAGAAAGAGAAACAATTGGGGGGATGTTAAGTAACAAGATTAAGAAGGAAGCAAAAGTGTACTTAAAGGGCAACTCCACCACTTTTCAACCTCATTTTCATTATCTCCAGCACAATACCAGTGTCTACATATGTGAAAACGGTGCATTTCTATGTTTTGTAGGAAAGAAAAGTAAGTAAAAAAGTTCTACACTATGATGTCATCGAAAGTTAAAACATTTAAAAAACAGTGATTTTCAAACTCTATGAGATTCACGGTGATGTAGAGCAAGAGAATACCCCCCCCTCTGGCTAGAAACTTGTTGCAGGTTTTGAAAATCACTGTTTAAAAAAAACTTTGAATCCTACCCTGTGATGTCAGAGAGAAGCATTTTTTTTTAGGATCTTTCTTCTTATCTTTTTAACCACAGATCATAGAAACGAGGCATTTTCAGATATGTCGACACTGGTATGGTGCTGGAGATGATGAATATGAGGTTGAACAGTGGCGGAATTGTCCTTTAAGTGTAATAGGTTTGACAGAGTTGGGATTTATTAATAAAAAAGTCATTTTTAGACTAGAGTTTGTCTTTGGTATACTGCACAGTTTACAGAATATTTGAGACATAGTTGACTTCACATGAAGCATAGTCTGCTTAAGACAATCTAAACGTGTCTATTATCAGACAACATTCACGGCGAGTGCATCTGTTGGGTTTAATGGATTTGGACCAGGCCAGGAGGCTACCTGAATCATCCCAGGTGGCTATTCTCCAACTCTCTATCAGAGGAATGCAGCAGAACCAGGTGGCCCATCTGTCTCTCTTTCCAAGCCTACCCTAGAGATTATCCACTTTATACGCCGGGCTGGCCCAGCCCAGACACCTGGCCCTCCTGTGTTTATTGTAAGATTACAATATAGGTAGGGTAAGCCCATCGACTCAAAGTGAGCTGATGAAATAGTTTCACTTAATATGATGAGGTTAAAGGTCAACTGGGAATTAAATAATGATGTATCTATAGTGGAGCAGATTGCAGATATGCCTATCATATTTGTAATGTGTATGTCTTGAGAGTACACATGTGAAAGTTACAACTGTCCTCTATTACAGGTCAGGAACATACCAAAAAAGCAGTAGATGAGGCCAAACAGAAAGCATACTGAGCAGACGATGGATGGGATGAGGTCATACTTCCTAGTGAACCCCAACTCACACGTATCCACTTCAGCCATGCCAGAGAGGATATATTGATCCACTTCAACCTGGCTCAGCACTGCCCCATCAGTGACCAAGAGTGAGCTGGGGTTTGCCATCTTGGAGCAGTCGTTCAACAGGTTAGGATAAAGACTGTGCTTTTGTTTTGCAACTTAGGCCCTCTGTGTAACTGTGATGTTTTCCTGTCTTAATCTCATTTGGGAGCATATGTCAACAGTCAACGCCAAGCCGTGATATTGTCAGAATTCCATTGGGACAGGACTTTGCTACATTCATTTAATGAAAGAATGTGACGAATGCTTCATGTTGGTAGAATGTAAGAGCTGAGGAAACAGGAAGCTCCTGTGAGAAGTGTGTGAATCAGACCCTTTCCTGTCCTGCACCTGCAACAAGAGGACAGGAGAGTCAAATACAGCCAGAGAAAATGATATGACCTCTTTAATAGGCAGACTATAAATAATCAAACTGGACATTACTCTATATATCTAGTCTCCACATATACATCTAAGGTGTTGTCTAAATAATCTGCATAGAGACGGTAACCTCTGTACTACACAACCCTCTCCCCAGGAACCAGAAAAGGAAACTGAGATCCTCTCTGGGTCACGCATCTTTTTCTTGACCCTTTGTTAAAATGCAGGATGCAGATGAGGAAACGAGGGGTGGCTTGATGCTGACTGAGTCATTGAGCCTCTTTGTTTTGAACATATGGTAAAGTGCTCCAATCACAGAACAATGCTAAGCAAACAAACACCCCAACAGTAGGACATACCGTTCCAAAACCCCATAAAGGAATTGTGTATTTTTTTATACACATTGACGTCGCAGGTGGCCTCAAAAGCTGGATTCATTTTGGGGGAAACTATGTAACACAATTTAAAAAAAAGAATAATCTGCAAAAAGTTGAAAAAAGCTATATCCTCAGCATCCAAACCACATGCACCTTGTTGATCACATACTTAACTCTGCACCCAAGGATACATTGTATTGCCTTAGTCTGACTAGTAACAGAGTATGCTCTACGTTGAATGACCTTATAAGCTTTCCAGGTAGATCCCCAGATAATTGAATTAGAGGCCTATTAGCAGAGTCTAGTGAGGCTCATGTCCTGCTATCCTGCTACCTGCTTGTAAGTCACAAAGAAAACACTATCACTTTCTATTGCACCAATCAAGTGACTTTTGCTATTATAATATAACTTAGATATCAGGATGATAAACTCTTCATTTTTGATAATGAATTAAAACTGAGCCATCTGCCAAAAAGAAAAATATATATTTATACAGTCAGACACATGAGCACCTCATTATCAGTTTATTACAAAATAGTCATATTCAACAGGCATTACATGAGTGGTATAGCAAATTCCACTTGTTTGATCATTAATAGATAGGATCACATATTTGGATCTGACATTAGCAGACATATGCAGACCAGAGAGTATTTGAGGTCATGAGTTTACAAATACTGTTCTCATGAATCATTTTAAGAGTCTGAAAATAAGTAATCTTACCTGACATGCAGCATATCCTTGTCAGAATTACAAACTGTGATGAGAAGGAATAGGACTGCTACTCATTTGACCATTTCTATGGTATTCTAGGTGGAGGAGTTACATTAGTTTGTTCTGTCTTTGCTGCGTTGAGGACAACCTACTCATGCGTGCGTCCCTCTCATCTGTGGCCACTGGACCTCTGACAGTGTCTGACATCAGTGAAAGAGAGTGACCATCTGTGCCAAGCTTGTTCTGTAGATCAGAGGTGAAGCAATATTATTGTTGTCCACATGATGTCTCTCCAGTCATACAGATTTACAATTTACAACAGAGGAAAGATTGGTTAAATCCGTTGCCAGACAGGTTCCATCATGAGTCAGGCATGATGGAACGTCAGGGATGGAATATGGAAGTTTACATTCTAGAAAAAGTGAGTGTTCCAGGCAAGAGGTGATATTCTGGATGCTATGGGTAAACTGCTCACTCATACTACAGAATAATGAAATGCTCTCATGTAGTCTTGTGTCTCAGTGTATATGCAAATTACAAATAAATGGTTTGTCAGAACAGAGAAAAATTAACTCACAAGCTTGATAGATGAAATGGTGTTTCATGATGACATTATCAACCGCTGATGTTTATTTTTAGATTGTACACCTATACATTTTATTTATAAGACTGACAGATTATTTATTAAACTAAACTCTCACAGAATGTACAGAGGTAGATTTACAGACACACAGTTTACAGTAGCCACTGGATTGAGTTTGGATGATGATGAGAAGGTATGCCTCAGTCTATACCCAATTTTTCCATTTACACATATATCCAGCAAAAGATCACAGTCAAGATTTCACAGTAACACTGCATTGGCACGAACACTATTAAGCCAAACATCATGTAAAAAGAGCAGATAAAAAATTACAATGCGCTTATTCATACTGCCGGAGCACTGAGCTGCAATGATGTTGAAATCAGCAGTAAAATAGAGCTGTCATGCAGCATTAAGCGCTTCTGGTGAGAGGCAAATAAAGATGCTATCCTTTTGCTACACAAACTGTCCATCAGTCATGTACTGAGTATATGTGTTTGCTGTGTTTGCAGTAAATCAATGGAGACAATTGTCCCACACCTCAAACAAAATAGGATGTCCTCAAAAATGTTGCATGATGAATCATGTTGACGTTTTTATTTTATAGAGTCATTTATGCAATATGTTGATGCACTGTTCACTGAACCATTATTCTTAGTGACCAGATTTAATAAACAGATCTAGCGAGATTGAATGAACAACATAATATATAAAAAGTCGGACAAAGGAGCCTTGGGAGTTATACGTTCAAGATTTGTAACAGAATAAACATAGAGCCAACCCCTCCCATTTGAAAGTTATAAAAAGCTAAAGTTATGATTCTAGACACATCTTTAAAAGAAGGAATCTTGATGCTCCTTAAAGAGAACTGTTTAAGGCTACCATGAAATGTATAATATAAGACTCATATATTTCCCCCAAAAGGAATGCACAGCATAAGGATATTGGGTTTAAAAGACAACAAAGGGAATTCTCCTCAGAGAGTTGATACCGACACTGTGGAGATTAATCTGACTGAATAACTCTAACCTGCTGGCAAAGGGAGAATCACTGACGGTCCTTGTTGCACCACCTATATTTCACTACTCATCATAAATCACATATAGTGAAACCCCATCATGGAGTTATGTGAGGGTTATGGGGTATACAGAAAGCTATGGTTTTGAGATTATGCTGACGCCGGAATCTATGTGCTGACGAGGTCTATTTGTCTGTTGTATTATTTATTTATTTATTTTTTAAGCTCATCTCAAATCTCCAAAAAGGTTCTATAACTGAATGTAGTTTAATTTAGCGCCACCAGACCCACCACAGTGCAGGGGTGTCATAAACTCAGTAGAGAGTTACCATCACACTCTTGGCCTCTTCAAGCAGCTAAACATAAATAGATGTTCAATGTATAGCATAGTATACTGAACAAAAATATAAACGCAACATGCAACAATTTCTAAGATTTTACTGAGTTACAGTTCATATGAGGGAATCAGTCAATTGAAAGAAATTCATTAGGCCCTAATCTATTGATTTCACGACTAAGAATACAGATATGAATCTGTTGGTCACAGATATGTTTTAAAAAATGGGCCTCACAATGGGCCTCAGGACTTCGTCACGGGATATATATATATATTTTTTTATCCAATTGGTAGTTACAGTCTTGCCCCATCGCTGCAACTCCCCTATGGACTCAGGAGAGGCGAAGGTCGAGAGCCATGCGTCCTCCGAAACACGACCCTGCCAAGTCGCACTGCATCTTGACACACTGCTCACTTATCCCAGAAGCCAGCCGCACCAATGCGTCGGAGGAAACACCGTCCAGCTGGCAACCGAAGTCAGCTTGCAGGCGCCAGGCCCGTCAGAAGGAGTCGCTAGAGCTCGATGGGACAAGGAAATCACGGCGATCAAACCCTCCCCTAGCCCGGATGACGCTGGGCCAATTGTGACGCCGCCTCATGGGTTTCCCGGTCACGACCGGCTGTGATACAGCCTGGGATTGAACCCAGGTCTGTAGTGACGCCTTAGTCATCACGGTGAGAGAAATAAGCTTTTGTGCATATGGAAAATGTATGGGATCTTTATTTCAGCTCATGAAACATGGGACCAACACTTTACATGTTCAAATTAAATTAATTTTTATTTGTCACATACGCCGAATACAACAGGTGTAGACCTCACAGTGAAATGCTTACTTACAAGCCCTTAACCAACAATGCAGTTTTAAGAAAAATAAGTGTTAAGTAAAAGATAGATAAGTAAAAATAAAAAAAGAAGAACAATTGAAAAATGAGGAAGATCTGAGATGGAGTGAACAGTGTCCGTATGATACAGTATGTAATTTAGATTTTATTTTTGTGTTTTCTTGTGAATGTACTGTATGTCAAAGAGAATATCATAACTTGTTGGGTATTTATGATATACACTGAAATGTGTAATTTATTCCCACTTATTCCCATTCATTCCAATATTGAGCACTGGAGAAACCACTTCTCTTTATTCTACCCTTGGGAAATCCATGAGAAAATCCGTTGAGTTCCACTTGTTGCATCACTTGGAGAATATACTAGACACTCATGTTTAACTGCAGTTTCAATAATGCCAAAATAAACAATAGGAGCTTTTCAATCGTGGCATTGTGTTTTTCATGAGAATGAATTGTAGAGGGTGGTAAAAAGTTCAATTCAAGGCCCATTTTGTGACAATATATATCAAATTGTTTTCCATAACATATACTAGGCCTACACCATGCTACTGCCATAAGATTCCTGCATGTGAACCAAAATATTTATGATCTGGCTGAACAGTTTAGAGAAGTTTGAGATGTCTATTGTTTGTCATGCAGCAGCAACCCAACCCAACAATACCCTTGGGTTCTCGGTAAGCTCCAGTTGTATTAAAAATAACAATTCGGCATATTAATAAGCTGTTGTTAAGACACTTGTGGGCCTTTCTGTCGATAGGCAAGGCTTAGTAATAGAGAATATACTTTTTATTTTCCCTCTCAGGGGAAGATCTAACAAAGGTTTGTGTTGAGAAAATGGCCACAGAAATTACTAGTAAAATGGAAGTGTTTTGGTGTATTTCTTATCTGTACAGCCTTTGCGGCCTCAGATTTACAGTGTCCATTTCAGGACATCCTCTGTCATCCTTTGAAAGCCTTTTTCAAAGTCTAAAATGAATTTGATGGATTGCAATTTCTACAAATATTTTGGCGGGACACCTTGTTGATTCCTATTCCATGTGTCGTTTGGACAGTGTTACTATGGCTGAGTTTACAGCTCAATAATGTTTTCCACTAATTAGTGTTTTCACATCAGATCTTTTTCAATTAGTGAATAACATATCAGAATTGGG